GTTCAGTTTTAACCCTGACATTGACATTGTGTCTAAATCAAATTATGCTACTAGTTACACTTATTATTATGGACCGCATATCTGCTGGGATTTCCATTTGAAATCCATCACCACATGTATATTTATTTTTATGAATTGATTTTGCAAATAAAAAGTTTTAATAAAATATAGTAAAACCTATCTATAGTCATAATGTTGGGATTAACTAATTTTATTACTATAAAGAGGTTATAACTTAATAAAGATGTAATTACAAAAATTATAGTTTTGATTTTTGATTTTATAATTCATGTTTTAGTAATACAGTATAAAGATTTCAATTCATATTTTAGTAATATTATGATTTCAATACAACGTTTCAATTACCTACTTTTAAAGTAGATAAAAGATCGTTTCTTAGAACCAGCAAAAATAAGTGTCATTGATGGAACTGTAAATATAGTTGATGCATGGTCAATTGATGTGAAGTCACAGACAATTGTCAATGGTTTTAAACGCTGTAAAATTAGAACTACTATTGTCAATGAATTATAAGTTACAAATGAAGTGGATGAGGAGAATAAAAGAGTCACTATAGAATTGAGTGATCATATTCGACAAATTTACTACATTAATCGAATGGATATTAATGTCTTCTTCGATTATCTAAATGAGCAATAAATTGTGTATATTTTAACCAAAGGAGAAATCATTGTTGCAATTAAACAATAAGAGAAATGAAATAATCCTAATGATAATCGTACGAAAATACAAAAAGTTTTGTGCCATGAAGCTCTAAACATGTTTAAGAAACTAAAAATATTTTAGCTTCAACAAGAAGGTACCCATGTTAACTGAGTTATTATCTATTCGTAAGGTAAAAGATGTGATAACAACTCTAAAACACAAATCATTGTCCCAAACAATTTTAAATAAATATTTTATTTAATTTTAAACCTTTGATTTTACATAAGATATATTTTTTTGTAATATACAGATAATTATTACTATGTAAAGGCAACTTTTCTTAAGCCAGAAATTAGAAAAATTATAACTTATTACAATGTAGAGTTTATTATTATTTATAACTATCCCAAATAAAGACTATAATTTTTTATGATTATATAGAGTTGATTCCTATATAAAATATCACTATAAAGAGGTTTTACTGTAGTTATTTGACAAATATGCATGTGACATTATTTAAATATTATTTTAATTTTAAAAGCTTGACAATGTAGTTATAGGGAAATTCCAAGTCTTAAGAAAAAGGAAACTGTAAACTTGTTTAATTCAAAACTAAAAACGTAATAATGTTTTAAATTCAAGACATATTATCAAGCACTAAAAATGTGAAAGTGAAAACTTAGATAATATTATTGGTCTCTATAAAGAAAGGAAAAATATAGATTATTTAACGCTGAATATAAAATAAGAATAATTTTGACTATAACAACAATCATTATTAAATTTAAATTAAAAAAAAATAAACCCTTTTGAATATCTTAATGGCTAAAATTGGAAAAACAAAACCGACCCTTTACATTAAACGGCCCCTCTTTTCCGTCTCCAGAATTAAGTATTGGGCGTAGTTCCTTCCTTTTGAGAAAGCACTACTTCTTTGAATCTGACTGTATTATCATCTTCACCATCACAGAAACACTTTTTTTTGATTGGGTAGGGACATTCAAAGATCACACGTAAGAGAGATCTAAAAATGAAGATTGAAATTGCCGGTGCTGCAACTTCATAAAAGCATAAAACTACAAATTATGATAAGTGTAAGCCATCAACTAGTGGGATTTTAGTGCTCAATCAGATTGTGGCTTTGACCAGAGACTGAACTTTGGGAGATATACAGGAATATTTTCTTTTCTCTGTTTTGGCCAATGCAAATTGTTATTACTTGAAAAAGGTTGAACATCGCCTTTAATAATGCAAACTGTTTTTGACACAGAGGTGTTAAGGAAGTGTGCCGAGATTTTTTGCTAAAGGTGGACTCTGCGGCGGTGCTATTGTTTACCAATAAACTGATGAAAACTTAAAAAAAACTATTAAATTTGGAACAAATAAAATAATACAATATCAAGAAGTTGAAAAAAAAGAATGCAATAACATAATACTTTCATACGTGAATAAATCTATAAAAAACAAAACCTTGAACAAATATATTAAAAATAACATCTAATTCATAAAGAAACAAACGAAAATTTTTATTTAGAAAAACATCTGCAATAGAAAAATAGGTTGACTTATATTCACTTTTAAAATAATGTTTTATATGATTAAGTTAATTAAAAAATTAAATAGTAAATAATTCAGATTGTTGTTAACTTAAATTGAGTTCAATGAATAATTCAAATTGAATTATAATTTTTTTCTAATTATGTCACGTCATTGTTATTAATTAGAGGATATATTTGTGAAAAGAGAATAATACAATCATTCGAAATTTATTAAAATCAAAGAAAGATAATAATAATTATTAAATAAATTATTAATTTATAATTATATAAATTATAAATTTTTATTTTTATTAAAAGGGGTATAAATTATCACATAAAATCTTATATTAGTAGAGAGAATTTACATCTCTTAAGTAATTAAGTAGGTAGAGGGATGAAAGACAAAAATATAAGTATAAATGAAATGATAGTAAGGTTAAGTCATAGAATTAAAAATCACAATTAATAGAGATTTTTGTGGTATATTATATGAATTAAATTAGGGGAAAATGGGAGAATAAAATGGTCAAATTAGTAAAGACACTAGAATCCCAAAGATAAAAAGAAATTTAAAGAAGACTTTTCCATAGATTTATTTATTTAAATTTAAGGATAGGCCTGGACCTACCGCAAAAGGGCTGGGTCCGCCCATGGCTATACAACGCTTGTCTTCTTAATTGGATAACATTTAATTAGATTTGCTAAATCAATAGATGTACATTACAACATGGATACGCCTGTTTACACTTTACAGAATGTTGTCTATTTCTGGTAAACTTTGAAATGACACAAGAAGATATTATTTGTGTGAAATAACTGAGGTTGAGCTTGATAGCACGGATCAAATTGAACCAATTATAGATTAAATTAAGAGCCCCTAAGGTTTCCCCAAATAAAAGTTACCCCTCAAGAATCATAAATAACAATTTACCCCTTGTCTATTAGGGTTTATTTAAATAACAAATTAAGTGAAAAATGTGTTTATCAATCAACGGAAACAGAAACGGAACAATTATAATTTATTTAAGAAAACCTTGGTAGGTAAATTTGAACTCTTAAATTTATAATGCCCGTGGAGTGTAGGATTACTAGAACGAGAGTTGTAACTAAATACCCTCCAAAATGAATTTACTCTTGTTGTGTAGTGAATACACTATGCATGGATTCACGTCATGTGTCCCTGGATTATGCTGGCAATCAGTGTTTAGATTCACGTTGTGTGTCACTCCCTCATAAAGTTGCTTCACTTGTAAGATAACCAGTCCAACAATGAGAAATTTGACTCCATATTCGGATTTGGGGGAGTTGGCATAAGAAATCTTCCATTCAAACAACTCTCAACACCCTATGAGGGAGAACAAAAAGGAGAAAAGCCTTCCTACATAGAGATGAGTGAAACACTAACACAAACAAACTTAGATAGAGAAAAAAGAGTTCATCTCTGTAAACATTCAAGTGTAAATACAAAGAGAAATACAATAGTGGAAGTAAGAGTTGCTTATTGCATCCGAACCATTATAAAAATCGTTATGTTATTGTTCTTTATGCTTTTCTTTTACGTCTTATATTGATCCAACATCAAAAGTTTTGACTTCTCACAAACCCTTGCATAGACTTCGACAAGAGATCTACATACTTCTCGTTGGTGTAAAATCACGCATCAACATCTCTCTCTAGGGTCTCGTTTAATTTTTGAAAACCTTTAATTAAAAAAAAAAAAAAAAAAGTAAAAGTAAAATATATATAACATTAAAATTAATCTTTAAACGATCTGCCAATCGATCAGCACATGTATAATTAAATAAGTTTAATAATCCAATAGTGCCAAATAAATTAAAGAAGTATAATATAATAAGTTAAATGATATGATGGTGCCAAATCAATTAAAATAAGTTAATATGGAAAACTTTAGATGAGTAGAAGAATTACTCATTTGTTTAAAGCTTTTCTTCCACTACACAGCACATTACCAAAAACCAATACATGCAAGGCGAAAGCCTAAGTTAACGCCTTTTAAACTTTTCAATATGATGAATAAGAAAAAAATATTGTTTAAGCACTTACGAGAGAATCTCTTATTGCTTCATTTGATATTTAAAAAAAGAGTAAACGACTTTGGACTTTTTCCAACCCAAGGTTTGTCTTAATGACACTTTCCTACCCAGAAAGTTTCAAAATATTACTTTCCCACCCAATGTTTATACTCCGTTAATATCCAAAATACACTTTACTTTTTTAGTTAGCATTTGACGAGTTACCAAGAGTTAGAGTAAAAAAGATTTTATAGAGTGAAGGTCGGTGGATCGAATGGTGGTACTCGATTGAATATTCGTTGACAGAATTAGTCAAAACCGACTAAGAATAGGAAACCATAGCTTTATGATGGCTAGCAATAGACAAAAAATCAAGTATCGGAGTAAGAAGAGTTTTGTAGAGAGGAGACCACAAGTTCAAATAGTGGTGACGAAGATAATTTTTGTCATCAAAATCGGCTTTGGATAGTTACAAAATATTAATTTTGGGTGAAAAATTAGTATTTTAAAATTTTTTGAGTGGGAAGTTCGATAAGGCAAACCTTGGGTGGGAAAAAGTTTACTCTTAAAAATAAACCAATGAAAGACATGCATAAGAGTGAGTCCACTCAGGTTTTAATAAAGTTGCAAATGGTTTTAACAAAAAAGCAATGGCATCCACAGAATGCTCAAAAAATGAGCAATAATTCTAAGGTGACCCAAGACCTATCGTCTATAAATTTGTGACTAGGAGCAATAATTGTGCTAGGGACATCAGTGGAGTCTGGCTCTGAAATTGAAAAAAAGAAAAAAATTAATGTTAATTCAAAATTAAGACAAAAAGCCCCTTATAAATATAAGTGGCAACATAGCAGCAGGTAGCATCACCACCACAATTGGTCATTCTCATTAGCTCGTTAGTGCTTCAGGATTTTGAGCTAAGAGAATTTTAGAGAAAATGAAGAACAAATTATATAATTTGTTTAACAGGTCAAGGCCATTCATCGGTGTTGTATTTTTACAAGTTGGGTTAGCCGGGATGGATGTTTTATGTAAGGCTGCGTTGAACCAAGGCATGAGCAATTATGTGCTGGTTGTTTATCGCCACGCCGTTGCCACACTTGTCATAGTCCCTTTTGCCGCCTTTCTGGACAAGTCCTCTTTCTCTCTTTTCTTTCTGTCTTCACACAACACATTTGCAAACTTTTCATTACTTTGTGGTAAATTTATGACAAATAAATAAATAAAACGAAAATAAAAATTTAAACAGCAAGAAAATTTGTCTTAATAAAATGGGTTTTAATTTTATTTTCTCCGTTTAACAGGAAGATACGACCAAGGCTGACACTGCCGATCTTTACCAAGTTACTGCTGCTCGGCTTACTGGAGTAATTTTCTGAAAAACGTATATTGTTTTATACGCTTCAGCTTGTGGGATATCTTTGTTTACGATATTTTGTGTTGACAGGCCAGTAATAGACCAAAACTTGTATTACATAGGGATGAAGCATACAACTGCGACATTTGCAGCTGCTATGTACAACATTCTTCCTGCCATCACCTTTCTAATGGCTTGGGCTGTCAGGTAAGAGAGCTCATATGCTTTCTAATTGAAAACATAATTATAAAGAAATTAAATGGAAACTGTTTGATAGCAATCCATTTTCTTTTCAAGATTTCTTGTGATTTTAAGAGTACTAAGTTTTCTCCCCAGGCTTGAGAAGGTGAAAATCAAAAGTATTCGCAGCCAAGCAAAGATAATAGGGACTATCGCAACAGTTGCAGGAGCGATGGTCATGACCTTGTTGAAAGGTCCGATTCTTGATTTGATCTGGACAAAATCTGCAAATCATGAGAAAGGAAGTGGCGGGATAGACATCCATAATTCAATTAAAGGTGCCGTTTTGATAACACTTGGCTGCTTCAGCTGGGCTTGTTTCATGATTCTTCAGGCAAGTAAATAGCCACATATTCCGCGTCTACAATTATTTGATTGATACATCTCCTAAACCATGAAAAATTCTGATTTATTTCTATAGGCAATCACACTGAAAACATACCCCGCTGAGCTTTCACTCACGGCGTGGATATGCTTCATGGGCACAGTTGAGGGCAGCATAGTGGCGCTAGTAATGGAAAGGGGCAAATCTAGCATCTGGGCCATACACTGGGACACTAAATTAATGGCCGCTGTCTACAGTGTAAGAAAACTATACTAAATTAAACAAAAGATCTGCAGTTCAACTAGTTTCACAGAGCTTCATTTTTGACACTGAATATGGGTTAATTTTACACCATGCATCATCCTAGCTCGCAGTATTTTTAAAAGTCTAAAACCAAAATACATGGTCATTCATTTCTAAAACAACTAAGAGGAAGAAATTAACCTAAAGATGTCACTAGATCCTAATCTAAAAAATGGTTAAGTCTTAGAGTCTTATATTAAAACATATGCATGCCTGCAGGGAATTGTCTGCTCAGGACTGGCTTACTACATTCAAGGAATAATAATGAAAGACAGGGGACCTGTTTTCGTGTCGGCTTTTAGTCCCCTATGCATGGTTATTGTGGCAATCATGAGCTCCATCATTTTGGCTGAGCAAATGTACCTTGGCAGGTAAATACAAAGCTTTCACCAATACAATCACAACTTTACAGAGTGGACAAACTAACTGTAATGATATTTTCACAGGGTTATTGGTGCCATTATCGTAGTTGCAGGCCTATACCTTGTAGTCTGGGGAAAAAGCAAGGATTATGCATCCCCATCAACATCAATTGACGAGAAAATATCACCAGCTGCAGAAAAAGTAGATGCAGACAGCAACACAGACGAAAATTTTGATCATGAGGCCATCAAAATTGATGTGTGTGATCATGAAATTGTAACTAGGAAATAGCAATTAGATGGCAAAAGGGATCCTACTACCATCTAGAATAGAACTTCCCTCAATCAAGAGTTCAAGTTGCAGGCACATCCACATTTCAGCAAATAGGTAATATCCAGTTGCCAGATCATGCAAAATGAACATCCACAATTCGCCGTAATCCTATGCAAAATTAAATTTTGTTTAACTATAATGCAAGTGACTTAAATATCTAATGATCATATCATAACTGAAAAACTTGTACAAGAATTTGATTGTGTGCCAGGCACCAATCTGACTGGACTGGATGAACATGAGTCATTGTCAAAAACTTGTAAACACACTAAAGTCAAATCAAGTCAACTATGCTTCACTATCAAATTAGTTGAGGTTTGCTATAAGGTCATATCCTATCGTACAATCAACTTGGAACCAAATATTTCTTTTGATGATATAAACCCAAACAACTTTCAGTCTACCATCAACCAGTTTCAATCCAACCACTAGAAAGACAGCTTTCTTTGAAATTATGCATCTTTAGATTAAAGCTGTTATATCTCTCAAGGGTTGATTAGTATACAATAATTTAAAAAAATAAAAAAATAAAAAAATAAAACCCAACTAGAAGAAATTTTTACTTAAAACACTTATGCACTGCCCAAAAAAATGTGAGAAAGTTCCAACACATTTGTTACTCCGGGTAACTTGAGTAAACATATATACAGAATATGATAGTGTCATCTCACTTAGATCAGAATTTTGATTTGCAATGAGTAATATCACTCTTTTCTTTAAAGTTGCAACTACCAGTTTCTCACAACGAAAGACCAAAAGCTAGGGCTAAGGCTTGACTCGCTTTGGACTCAAGACCCCTAAAAATAATACTCGCATAGTGTGAACCTAAACTAATACAATTAAATGCTTCAATTTTGTGACAAAAAATCTAAGCACTTACAGGCAATCACTTTATTGCTTCCTTTCAAATTGCAAAAGTAATTAAAGAAAATCATAAAAGTAACTCCACCATGTCCCTGACCCTCAGCTGTAAAAGAGGTGCAAAACATTAAAAAACTTAAGGCATTGACATCCAAAGATTTTGAAAAAAATGAGCAATCATTCTGGGTGACTAAAGGAGATGGTAAGCAATAATTGAGCTTTCAGAAACCAGTGGAGTTTGGCTCTGAAATGGAAAAATGTTAATCGGATATTAAGTTATGAGTTTCTTACAAGAGAGGCCATTTGTTGGTGTTTTTAGTAATAAAGGTTTGCAGGGATGGAGGTTGTGTAATGAAGCACTGAACCGAGGGAAGAGTATCTTACATATTGTAGTCTACTGTCATGCCATTGCCACTGTTGTCATGGCTCCTTGTGCTGGACATGTCCTCTTTCTTTCTTTCTTTTTCTTTATTTACACACACATATACACAAACAATATAAAGGTCATACAAAGACAAAAAACAGCAGAAGTCTTTCTCTGAGTATAATGGTTTCTTTTTCTCCACTAGGAAGATAAGACCAAAGATGACTGTCAATATTCACCAAGCTAATAGGGCTCAGATTACTGGAGTATTTTTGTAAATTACATAATATCTTCTATCCTATTATGCTTATGCTATATTTTCCTTTTCATGTTTTAGATGTGTTGATAGGCCAATTATTGATCAAAATTTGGTATCGTATGGTGATGAAGTTTATTACAGCAGCATACAACATTCTTCCTGCCATTACCTTTCTAATGGCTTGGATCATCAGGAAACTAAATACACAGCACAAAAAATTATCCGAGAGAAGCACTCAAATTATTTATTTGCATAAACATATTTAAAGTAAACAAAATCAGGGGTGATAGACGCAGCAATTAATTACCCTAAACATGCGTGAAATGTTCTTGTTGTATCTTTACAACTGTTCTGTTTCTCCCAATGCTTGAGAAGGTATAAAGTAAAAATATCTGCAGTGAAGCTAAGGTGTGCAGGGCTTCAGAAACAGTTCAAGGAGCAATGATCATGACCCTGATAAAAGGCGTGAATGTTGATTTGATCTTGAAAAAAGGAGCAATATATGAGCATGGAAGTGGTGGGCTACATATCCATAATTAAATAAAAGGTGCCTCAATGATAACAGTTGGCTGATTCAAGCTGGGATTGCTTTTCTTCTAGGAAGTAAATTCCACATATTCTGGATACTATTCGTTAACAGATCTCCAAAACCATGATGACTTCAGTTTCCTTTCTCTAGGCAAACACACTGAAAACTTACCAAGCTGAGCTTTCTCTTACAGCTTCAACATGCTTCTTCAACACAATTGACAATATTGTAGTGGCACTAGTAATGGAAAGGGGCATAGCCAGCATACAGTCTATACACTAGGACACCAAATTAATGATTGCTCTTTATCAAAAAAAAGATCTGCAGTTCCATAAGATTCTTTCATCAACACAGTTATTTTTCCTACTTCTACTTTTTTGGATTACGGCAATTTTGACACAATAGGTAACACATAGGAGGTAATCTAAATCATGTTCCAGACATTGCTCCTTCACTACTTCTGGTAACCTGAGCAGACATTTATATATGCAGAGACCAACATGTTATTTTGTAATTATAGTCTGGAACTAATGACATGGTGGCCATAAAACTAAGACCAATCTAAGGGAGGTAATCCAATGCATGCTTGCACTCTTTTACCAAAACATGTAAACAATAAAAGAGAAGAAATAAAATATTCCATACTTCTGTATATTTCTCCAAAGCCATATTCGTAGAAGATTAGTCAGGTAACCACCAATTGGGTACGCTTAAGAGGGTTAAATCAAATGGATTTACAACACAAATTCAAATGTAGCAAACAGATTGACCCCACAATTTAAATTGCAAACCATTGCGGATGCTGACTTCTGCTGTGCCAGTTAAAAATAGTATAAGTCAAAATTGGTTACTACAATCAACTACTTCTCACATGATTAGCAGAGAATGATGAAACTTGAGCACAACCATTGAGATCCCATGTTTCCGCAAATAGTTATATACTCCAACAAAATTCAAAGATGCAATTCATATATGTTAAATATCAAGGAAAAAGAGGACCAAGTGCCCTAAAAGTTACAAAAAGAACTTTCTTTCCGATGACGAGTGACACATTTTCAAATTGATCCTAATCCTTAATTAAATTCTGGCCAGTGTGTAAGGTTGATCTACTTTCACCATGATCTCTAACGCCCAAATTATATATATTTATAAAAGAAAAAAAATCAAGTCCGTCAGGGGTGCAATCACCATTAACACAATAGTGTTGCCAAAAAGATCACTCCTATGCACAAAACAAAGATACTATACCTTACAGTTTGGACAAAACTGCTTTATCACAATTGCTTCCCCTCATCTTTTCCATATATACGCTGAAGCTCACGAGTTGCAGCCAGAAAAGATTCTGAAAAAGAAGCAAGAGAACATTTAAGCAATAAAATATTATGTCACAAAAATGTATTTGAAAATAAGCTCTCTTCTTAAGTGTTGGAGAATCAAAATGTGTAACACAATACAGTTTTATTAGATAAATTGCATCACCTTTCCAAAGACGGAAGGACTTCTGGTTAATGGGTGAACCAGTTATTGTCTGAATAACTTCAAACAACATATTCTGCGGAGTGCTCCTTAGTTCTTGGACAATGCCATATATAGTCTTCCCATTTTCAAAGTATATGTGATTGTTTGGGTGTTTTGTTTTGCAACCAGCGTGTCGCTCAAATTCATAAGCATTAATAACCTAAATAAAAACAATTGATCAGTCACCATTTCTGCTTGAACTCTCCTTTCCAGCAAAGCTATAAGTGAATAAACTCACCTTAGAGTAATTACACGACTGACAGCTACATTGATACCCGGAACCTTTTATAACACCACCGAGCTCCTTCTACCATGCGTATGAGGAACAAACATGTTAGCAAACAATTCACTAACATTTAGATTTACAAATGAAGATTTAACACTTACCTCTCGAGACCAAGCAATATACTTTACAGGTACTCCATCCAGCATACCAGTTGATAGCAAACTTCTGACATTTGAAGGGAAGTTGTTTGAGGGGACTTTCTTAGATGTTTTAGAGTCCTCTTTCTTTCTTGAGTTATTTTCAGCACCAGGAACAGTTATATGGTCACTAGATACAAGTGTGTCTGCATTTGACTTAACCAAATCTTTTTGATTTAATACTTCTGAACTATGGACAGAAGATTGGCCCATCAACATCTCATAACTGGATAAAAGCCTTCCCGAGGGATTTGCATCATCATCATCATCATATCCACCAAAGGATATGATAGTACTCTCACCCTTATTGTACAACTGACCAATAGATAAACTATTGCTTTCTTCCTTGGTATAGTTGTGACCCATTGATATGGTACTTTCATCACCTTTGTTATAAAGGTGACCCATTGACATGGAGTTCTCATGTACCTTGTTGTAGGATTGACCCATGGAAATAATATTGTTGTCTCCCTTGCCGAAAGTGTGATCCATTGGTATGGTATCATTATTCTCTCTGTACGTTTGACCCATTGGCATGGTATCATCACCTTTGTTATAAGATTGCCCCATTGATATGAAAATGTTATTCTCCCTAACATAGGTGTCCCCCATAGACATAATACTGCCATCCCCTTTGTTATAAGCAAGTCCCATAGATATAGAACTGTCATCTGGCTTGTATGCATGAGCCACCGACATGGTGTTGTTATCCACTGTATCATATGTATTTCCCATTGATACAGCCATGATATTCTCAGATTCCTTAACCTGGCTGACCTTCACTTTTCTGATCCCACTATAACTTGGACCTGATCGAGGATCTTCCAGTGTTTGTGACATAGATAAACCAAAGGAAGAATCATTACCAAATAAATCTTCACTAGCCTTTCTCCCCGGATCAATTTTTTCTTCACTAACTGATGAGATGTTTCGGTCATCAAAATCGACAGCCCTGGATGCCGGAGAATCAAACAAGCGTTCACTATAATGGCCAGGGATTGAGTGAAAACTGGAAGCATGGCTCCATGGAGGTACATTTGAGTTTAACAATCCTGAGAATAAGTTGTTGCTTGGAACTCCAACCGCCTGTTTCTTGTTGGGGAAAAGCTCAGCCTCTGGACCATCCATGAACCACTGATGAGAACGCTTGGGATCAATTCTAGAAGAATTATCATAAGCCATCTCATTATCATTTAAACACCCAGCACCCTTCGCCATCCAAAATCCTTGATTCTGGAAAGAGTTTTTCATATAATTACTTTAACATGGCCTTATCATATGCTAATTTCAAAGAAAATAATGAAAATATTCAATCCATATTTTTGAGAATGTAATGTGAACCGAACTATAACAAACATACCAACAAAGCTTGGGAAACCTTTATCCAATCATTATAAATGTGTTCGTCCTACTACTTAAATGATACAAGTGAGCAAGGAAAACAAATTCTTTTAGTAATTTAGGCTGCATTTATTAACATTCTTTCTCATTCTTCTTCATTCTTACATAGCTTCCACATTATTTCCCTTGCCAACCATAGGGAAAACCCAATAACCAGGTGAATTAATATTAAATAATAAGAAATTAGAATAATTGTTATATCAATATCATTTACTACCACATTCATGCACCAAGTTACTTCGGTGTTAACCATCAATAGAATATGCATGTACTTTATTGATAAGACATAATAATTTTATGAAGTAAAATAATTTGACAAAGATTGTGAATCACACGTCCACTATATGGAAGACAAATCATCAATGCTAAATTCAACATCCATATTTTCAATTGACAATGTTATTTTAATATGTGTTTCTTAAAGATTGGGGGGACAATGGACTCAAATTGTCACTCTCCACATTAGTCGACAATTTGAACTAGAACTTTTGAAACACTATAGACCTTCCAAAAAGGAATACTAGAAACTTGTATAACACAGCCATGCTAAGTCAAATGAAAAGTTGGAACAAGCACAACAATATAATCAGACTAAACTTCTTGACAATGCACTCCAAAATGCATAATCTCAATTGCAGAAACCAAATAAAATCAGTGTGCAACTAAGCTACATTATCGAACAAGATGCATCTAGTGAATAGATCAATCACATAATATCTTAAAATCATGGGAACATAACTTGGGATTAAGGAAACGAGTATGGCTGACCAGTCCACAGCACCATGCCAGCCATATAAAGAGGGAATGCAATATACTAAATAGTTAAAAAGAAGCCCCTAAATGGTAATAAAACAACTCTCACATTGCAAAAAACCTACTCAGACATGAGACATACCATTTTGTTTCTTTCCTTTCACTTTATCACTCAAGTTTGGTTTCTGCACTTCGTTTAACTGTTCGATTCAGTATGCACGTCAAAATGTATGTTGTGTCATCAAGAGCTTGATTATTCAACATCAACTACAGTACAACTTCACCGATTGCAAACGTTACAATCAGCCGTGGAAATTTAAGCTCGACACCGTTTAGCTATTTATCTGCCACATGCAATGATCTTATCAATTAAACGGTAAACTACTCGAAATAATTAAAAATACACTGTTTAGTATCTGAAAACAAAACTACACTAAAAAAAAAATCTCTCACTTTCTTATGAAACTATAACACTCAGTTTAGATTAACATTCTTCATCATAGCAAAGAAAATTTCCTTTCTTTTCCTTCATTTTCTCGGAAACCAAACGAATAAGTAACTAAGCAGAGAATATTTATCAAACCCTAAAAGTTTGAACATGTACATAGAGAAAAGAAGAAGATGATGAAAGAGAGATACTCATTATAAGTACCTTCAATTGAAACAGTCAGTGCCGCACGATCTGTGATCGAAAAAAACGGAACTACACGGCGGAAATATACCGGAAAAACGCCGGAGACTGTACGAAAGGGGATCGCGGGCGAGATCTAAGAAGCTGAAAATGTTGTTTTATCGGATTAAGGTTTTTGTTTGGGAAGAGATGATATTAATGAGAAGGTGCACTGCACGATACCAGCGCGTGGAGCATGATCTCGAACGTACATGTGGACAGTTTTTAATATGATCTAGTCCGTTCAGCGAAGTGAAAATTTCTTGTGGGGTCAATCATGGCGGGACTCGGGGGATTTTTTTTACCCTTTTCGTCCTAAACCTTTGTGATCTTTTAGTCCCAATCTTTTAGAAAGTAGTAGTTTAAACCCAGAAGGTATCAAATGTTAAAAAAAAGGCTAGTATCGCCAATTCACATCTAAAAAAAAAAAACAGAGACAGACCTTCAACTTGGGAATCTGTTGTGAAAGCTTTAAATGGGCAATAGATAACATTGTCATAACAAATTTTTTTTTTTTTTATCGCACCTCAATTAATCCCCTAAGACTTTAAAATTATTAATCGAATAAGAGCTCTAATGACTACCCTTATTAACAACCGATGAGTGATTCAAACCCAAGACTTATTGAATAATACACCTAAGAGTCTCTATCGAATCATTCGGCCACTCAAAGATAGTTTGTCATGATAATTATTGACTTTTTTTATTAGTGGTTATTTTTTGTTTATATATTTTACCGAAAATTAGGGCTTCGTTTGGTTGCCAATTAGGAATACTACTTTTAGTATTTCCAAAAAAAATAAACAGTAAAATACCTAAAAATCAGAGTTTTTGGGAATACTACTCTCAATATTATTTAACTTTTTTTAAACCCCTTAAATTTGTTAATTTAACTAAATACCCTTAAATATTTTTTTTAAAATTACAAAAACACCCCAGTAATCCACATTTACCAGATTCCGACCACCACTACCGGAAAATGGCCGGAATCTGGTAGGATGGCGCACTACCGGCTGAATCTGGCCGGTAGTGCGTCGATCTAGCCTTTTCCGGCCAGATCCACCTAGATCTTTGGCCGTAATAGTCTGTAACGACGGCCAACAAACGGTCGTCGTTGATGGCCAACAAACGGTCATCGTTGACCATCAACGACGACCATTTGTTGGCCGTCGTTCACGAGCAAATACAGCCAGATCTGGCCGGAAAAGGTCATATCGACGCACGATCGGCAAGATCCAGCCGGTCATGCGCCGATACGGCGACTCCAGCCACCCTCCGATGGTGGTGGCCGGCTGTCCGTATTTGAGGGTGGGTTGGGGGTGTTTTTGTTAACTTTTAATGTTTTATTATATGGGGTATTTTGTAAAAAAAAACATAGGGGGTATTTTTAATATATAAATCCTACATCGTAATACCCGTCCAATTCAACTTTTTTTTAACTTTTTTCAAAAAACTTTTCCCAAAAACCCAAAATTTTGAACCAAGAGAAGCCTAGATCTTAAAAAGTCATTCATAGTGATTTCCATCTAGTAAACTTGGTTAAAATTCTAGTAAACATGTTAAAATTTATTTAAAAAATACACTAATTTGACAAAATTAAGCAGAGTCTTAAATAATTATCATAGACATTGGCATCCATAGGCTTCATTTTTGTTTGGTTAATTTTGTTGGGTGAATTAGTATTTAATGATTTCCAAAGGGGGAGTCCATAACCAGTGTCGACGAATTTTGAGATGGTTGACATATTTCACTATTTGGTGCTTTTGGTTCAAATGGTATATGAGATAACTCAACTAGCGTAATTTTAGAGCATCTTCTGTGGTATTTTTTATTTTAAAGAGTATATTTCATATAAATAAAGAATATTTTTATTAATTTATAAATATAAAGAACAAAATTTATATTCAAATCCAATAGATTCTTTAAATTAGACTTAATAAATAGGAAAAAGACTTAATAAGAGAGAGAATTAATAATAAAATGTATAGAAACTTGTAATTTGTTAAATAAAATTGGGATAGATAGTGAAATTTGATTCTCTAGATGTAGAGAGTCAAACTCATTCTTTAATTTATATTTAAATAATAAATAGTATATTGAACTCTTATTTTTATGGACAAACTCTTTATAATAAAGAGTTTGAGTCATATAAAAAATCATTTGGAAATGCTCTTATATTACCATATTTAGTTGTCAAGTAATTAAAAATTTCGAAAATCTTAAAAAACTAATAGTAATTACTGCTGGTTATATAAGTGGTAATCTGAATACCACAATTTTTTTAAGTACTCTAAATTATTTGGTTGTCTTAATTTTGTTACAATTTTATCCCTAACTATTAAAACTTTTGGATAATAATATCCTTGTTTTAAAAACAATTTACAAGAATATTCATGGATACTTTTATCCTTATACATAATATTTTTAGGACATTATTACCCTTACCCTTCTACCGAATTACCCAAGACAGGTGGCCAGGTTTGGCAAGTGATGTGCTAGTCTGGTCTTTTTCGGCCATAATGGATCTAATTGTCAACGCATAGCCATTGGCAATCGACAATGGTGGCTAGCATTGGTTTAGTTGAATAGAGGTGCTTTTGTTAAAATTTATACTTTTATTATGGTTGAAGTGTTTTAACAAAATCTCTAATATAGAGGGTTAAAGTAAATAATTCAAATAATAATAATAATAATAATAATAAAAGATAATTCAATAATATATATAATATACCTATCAATTTATTTAAATCTAAATATTTAATATAATATTTTCAATAACCTTTCTATTAGCCTATTTTTCTATTAATAAAATATTCCTAATAATATAATATTCAATGAACAACGCACACTAAAAGAATGATATTTCGGGTTCTATACTGAAACATATGCATCCAAATTTCTTAGGAATATTACAAAACCCAATGCATCATTGTTAGATGCTAATCATGCTACTGCACTTACCAATACTAATGCTTTAATTGAATTAACTCATTATTATGACTCCCATGCTTCCCTCTCTCTATTGGTTATCAAATTTCACATCAATTTGAGGGTACGGCTTCCAAAGAGTCCAAGACCTTAATACTTCTCTAATTTATTTTTGAGTAGTGCTACAGCCACCAACGGTAGTACACCGAATTTATACACCGAATAACATGATAAAATCTTAACCGTTTATTAATATTAAGTTAAAATTTATAAACGGTCAGGATTTTACTATGTCATTCGGTGCACAAATTCGGTGCACTACCGTCGGTGGCTGTATTATTTTCCTTTATTTTTCTATGCATGTTTTTACTGCTAATCGTGTTTTCTTCTTCTCCCACTGCTGTCCCGGAGTTAGGCATGGCAATGTTCTCCAGAATTTCAGGGACCATCCCACCCCACCCTATATGGGGTGGGAAAGCCTTGATTTTTTCAGGGATAGAGGTAGGGTGGGGGGCGTTTTAATCCCCATCCTCAAGGATGGGGCGGGGGTAGATGATGCCTTTCCCCCGCCCTGTCCCGTCTCGTATATAATATATAAAATTAAAAATTATATATATATACACTTTTCACTAATACCTATATATTTTACCTAATTACACAATTATCCTACCTATATAAACTCATATTTTCCCAATTTCCCTCACCCTAAACAATTGAACAAGAACAAACCCTAACCCATATTTATGTATAATTAATTATGTTTAAACGATTAATTTAAGTGTTTGTTATGTGGATGAGAATTAACTAGTGTGTTTGGTAATATTCAAATTAATTTATGTTTATGTAAAATTAACGGGTGGGGATGGGCCTCCAACATTCCTCTTTAAGGTGGGGAAGGAGAATTCCTGTCATCCCCGTAACGGGGATGAGGAGTGATTTTGAGGGCGGGGATGGGTACAGTGAATGAGATTCCCGCCCCGCCCCATTGCCATGTCTACTCGTAGTCTTCTTAAACTGTTTAAAAATCCAGGTGCATGCAAACTAATCGAAGGGATTAATCGAAGTGTGTAAACTGATTTGAACATCCTATTTAAAAAAAAAATTTGTTATGCCTGAGAAAGTAGGGCTGACACCGAGCATTGTTAGCAAGAGCGGTCAAAGCTTGAGAAGGTTCTACAACCGCTCAGATGCAGCCACGTCGTGTGATGACACGAGCAGCATACTCCTACCAGTGCAATGGGTATGTGCCAAGTTGGCGAAATGCTAGAAAAGGTCCACGTGTCCAATCCCTGCACAAGTCAAGGAAATCACTCGGGCAGGTGAGCAATGGGACGCGGAGAAGGATTTTCACGACATCTGCCCCACTTACAGATTCAGTAATCATTACCTTAATTCATTCTACTATAAATAGAGGGCTTCTCTCCCGTTTATGGGATTGACTAATTTTACTCTGAAATAGCATATTCTCTCTCTCTCTCTCTCTCTCTCTTGTATTCTCCAAACTATAATTCAGCTCGCTGAACGCGACCTGACCTCATACATTAATACAATACTAGTGGACATAGGATTCGCTTTTTGGGCATCCAAACCACTTTAAACATTGTTGTTCACCCCTTATTCAATCAGATTCCCCCATACTCACGTGTGACTTCTGAGTCCACTCAGCATTTCCCACGTGCGAATAGTTGGTGTCAAGATTCAGCATCAACAGTTTGACGCTAGAATGAGGGCCTGATTTAGTACTTGTTCTTCATCAGGAGAATCTCTGACTAATCGGTCCCACTATAGCAAATGGCTCGCAGATTTGAATATGAGCGAACCAATCATGGTGATGAAGAGATCCCCCAGGTACAAGAGCACATTTTTATCGAGGTGCCTTCAGCCCCACAAAATATCGTGGGGGATATCCCTTCAAGCTCATGGCTTGATCCGGCCGTCATGAGCTACTTGGAGAGGTTCAACAATACTCTTCAAATGGTCAGCCAAAGGCTAGATCGATTGGATCGGGTCGTACCACCCGAATCAAATGAGGCGGTGCCACTGCAGCTCGTCAAAGAAAGGGAAAGCAAGTGGCACACAGCAGACCTAGAGGCTCCGAGGGACCAGCGAACACCGATCGTGCCCCGGATAGAATACTTGTGGCATTGAGACTCGGTGACATGTCGTGGCCCGAGCCGTCCTATGCCACGTCGTGCTAGCACTCCC